AGGTAAAAGATGATTTGGTTCATCTAATATTGAGTGATTTGCATTTACTGTTGCATTAGCATTTGAAATAACAGCGACAGCGTAAACAGTTTCTAAATTTTTCCGCGCCTCCTCAATAGCTTTAAGAAATGATACTTTACGAGAAACAATTGTCGAATTATCTGAAATTATTCTATCTAACCGTTGTTGAACATGCAACAATCGAGCTTCTAATTTTTGTTTTTCATTTTCCCGATTATTAATATCAAAGGTTTGAATTTCTCCATCTAATTCCTCTATTTTATTTGCGCAAATAGAAAGTTCATTAATTGGATCAAAACGCATACGAAATTCCGGCAATCTACCTTCACGTTCTTTAAGTAGTGCTTCGCGTAATAAAAATCTTTTTTCATCAACTTTACCACTCCCTAGTTCAACTCCGCGTACTAAAAGTTCATAAGTTAACTCGTCGCTTCTTAATCTATTAATATAAATTTTCGCATTCAAAATTGTATTATCCATTTTTTTTTTATCTTTTATCCAAAATTATTAAATTCTATAATTTTAATTTAAATGTTTAGTAAAATTATCAAAGTATCTAAATTTTAATTATTTTTTTTTATGTGTTTGGCTGTATAAAATCTCCCCCTCCTTCCCAGGAGAAAAAAAAAATAACCAAGCAAGGAACGCAGGCCAATCAAAAAGGTATTCCTGACTACCCGAATACCGTATAACCACAGGTCTAACAACAAAACCTTCCAAAAACAGCAATAAATCACCCTGTAAGAACTATTATTACCAAAACCACTCAATTATGATTGAATGAACCTTAATGATTCAATAATTTATACCTACTCTAACTTACAATTGAATCACCCTGTATGATCTAATAAAATATTCTTACTCTAAATTATAAATGAATCACCCTGTATGATATAATAAAATATTTTTACTCTAAATTATAAATGAATCACCCTGTATGATATAATAAAATATTTTTACTCTAAATTATAAATGAATCACCCTGTATGATCCTACCGGTGCTCGCAGATTTATCTAAATCAATACCAAAGGATAAATATAAAAAACAAAATTTAAGCTATATGATTATGATGAAAAACCAGTTCAGACACCAGTAGTGAAGAACCATGCAAGTGTTGGTTCCACCACAAACCATGTACCTAGATAATCATAAAAAAAAAAAAAATATATGCAATTGTATCACACAAAAGAAAAACTTTTTTAAAAAAATTTAACTAAATAAAAGAAAAATTATTTATACAGATTGGTAGTATCACCCTATATGTATCTATAACATAACATCTATAACAGGTGGAACGTATCACCTTTAAAAGTTTTTTTTTTTTTTTTTTTTGAAAAGGTCAAAATCAAAATTAACTACAAAGTTTTTAAAGTGATATCAATTGGTATTTTTTTTTGCAACAAAAAAAAACTAAGAAAGAATAGAAAGTATTATTTATACCTATGTGAGCTTCCTTTAGTTTCTAGAAACAGCAGAAGGAAACTAAAATGCCAAATACAATGTTTATTTTTGTACTAAAAATAAATAAATATCGGTATATATTTATATACCTTAAAAAAAATACGCAAAATAATTACCAAATATAGGTAATAAAAAAATAATAATTGTAGCACTGAATGATTGAATGAATATCAGGCAGTTGAAGAGTAATCATATAACCCTATTTATACTCTATATTTATAAAATAAGTAATATTCTTATGATAAAGTATCTAACCCCAAAGAAAGAAAAGAAAAATAAACAACTGTCCAAGATAGATCCATCATTTAGTGTTTAATTTATCCAGTTGATGTCCGCAAATTATAAGGTCCAGTTCAAAATCGAAGAATAACCATATACTAATTTTTCAATATTTTATCAAAATACATATAAAAAAAGAAGTTATGATAAACCTTAAATATAGTAAGTGCCAAGAATACAAACTCTGCAGTTGGCGCCATTTTTATAACGGGGTTTGTTTACTATAACTCAAAAATCGGTGTTAGTTGGTAACCTCCTAAATTTTGTATATTATTATTTAGAATTTAGAAAAACCGTTAAAAAAAAAGGTTATAGTGTTCTCCTAGAGCTTAGAGAAGAAGACCACTTCGGCTAGCTGTCGGGACAAAAGGTGTGGGTCATTAAATAGTTAGTAATACTGTTTATCTTAAAAGTTAAATAAATAAAACGCCAGAGTCGGTATTATGGCATTTACTATTAAAAAGAATACGGGTATTTACAAAATTTCATAGATCAAATAGATAGGTATACATTTACCTAGAGCTTTTTTATGATACAAAATGATTTAAAATGACAAGAAAAATGACTAAAGTTAAAGAGAAATTCCCTGAATTCAAAATTATTAGAGTAAAAGACACAATTAATATTACCCCGTGATCACTAAGGTTTACAACAGGTTAAGTTTAAGCACAATTAATACGATTAAAGAATTATTCTTATAAATAAAAGTTAAATGATAAATCAAAATATAAATTTATTAGATTCTCTGAAGTTATTACTTATTAGACTGAAGGTCTTTCATACCTTGGTTTACAGACTTTCAGATACCTGATTTCTGGTAGAAACCCATTAAGCGATGGAACTCTCCACCACTGGTGTTGGTTACGATTACCCCGGACAGGAAACTGGCTTAGAACTTGTAGGACTGCAGGACATCAAATGATTAAAAACTGGACTACGTAACAATCACAGCGCATCACCCTGATGCGTCTGGAATTTTCCGGAACACTGGTACAGCACAGCGACTGCGGACGAAATCAAACGAGGTCGTTGACAACAACCCTCTGGAGATCTGATGTAGGAAGTCGGTAGTGCGGGCCGTTAGCAGACTTCGCTCATTGCGGTCGTAAGACTCCCAAAAATGGTTTAGGGTACCTACCCTTGTGCGATTGTGCCACGTGATTTGTAATCCGATCACTATCGGCGACGAACGTTTCGGTATTATACACGGGCTTCGCGACGACCCAGGCGAACAGTCAAACTCAAACACGTACCCCCGGTACCTTACCCAGCAAGCAGACAAAAAATAATTCACCACGAACCTCATGGCTACGGCGTATTTAACCCCTTTGTCAGAAGTCAAGATGGCTTCAACAAGTAGGATATGACAATGCATATTTTGGAAATCACACTTCCGGTGATCGCCACAAGTTACCAGAAAACTTATCTAAAGTAATCTAATTCAACCCCAAATGTATTTATGTGTGTATTTAACATCCTAATAAAATATTATTCCTAACTATAGTTAAGTATTAAACCCAATCTTCCTAGAAAAGTACCCTAATATAACATGCCGTCATGGACAATCAATGGTATTGATTTCAAATAGCACAACACCAAATATCCCATTAATGTTATCTGCCAAATTCGTACCACGGAACAAGAATTGGCTATCGGACCGTACAAACTAGACGACAGGTATTTCCTAGAAAGAAGAAGATAACCCGAATTTCGGATATAATAATTAATGTCAAAACATTATTGAAATAAAATGTAAACAAACGTAAAATACAACTAAATAGTGATTTAAAAGGGGTGAAAACTAAGTGAAATAACTACCACATACTAGCAGCATACTCGCAGGTCATGATGCTACACGTTTTCTGCTCATAAAACCATCAGGATCTTAAAAGCAAAAGGTAAGACAACAAGTTCAATGAATTGAATCATATTAAAAGTTTTATTCAAAAACAAAGCAATGCCTTTTTAAAAATGATGTGGATTAAGGATATATTTTAAATACCTGTATCCTTTAAATTACCAAATGTTCTTATTCAAGACAAATCAATATTTTATTAAAAGTTAGTATTCTTTATACTAAGAATGTGTTTTAAATGCCATACCTATTTAATTATTCTAAAACTAAAATCAACATGTAACAAAGATGCATAATCGAGAGGATATCTTGCATTCAATTTTACGACTCTTATAGCTGGTAGAATACTTTGCAGATATTTTGATAGTTCGTCTTCCACGGTGTTGGGATCCCACTTAGTAGGGTGCAAATATTTCATTTCTTGTGAGATTGATGCCTTTAGGTTAAAATTTGAGTCAGCATTCATATTTCCAGCCAACAGTTTTTTTGTTGATTTTTTAGCTTTCAAATTATTGTAATATTCGCTATGAGAGGTGGAGTCTTTATTCATATATATTAAATTATGGCATGTATTTGATGTGTGAGCATTGGCAATAGCGGACGGATGCTGGTAAAAGCAGGTTTTGATGAATTTCCTTGAGGTCCTTTAATTTCCGTGTGACAATTATTTGGATAAAAATATGTTGACTGAGATTCCGCTTTATTAGTTTGTATGGACGTGTCTACAAGAGATCCTTGTTTCAGCAAATCAACTTGGCTTTGTAACGATTTGATAGCAATTTCTTGATTGTATACAATCATATCTGTATTCCGAATAATCTCTTCAAGAAATTTTACTTTCATTTCAAGTTCCGAAATTGTATATGATGACTTTTGACTTACAGTTGGTGCTGTTTGTTCGCTGAAATTGTCTGAGCAACAATTACATGTGTTGTCATCAATTATTACAGCATTTCTTACAGATTTTAAGCAACTAGAATGAGATACAAATCCACAAATAATACAAGTTAGTCCCGTAGTAACGCTCTCTTGCATTTATTATCACCCATTATGCCCAAAAGAATTTACTGAAGTCACAAAATAAATAGCAAAATATCCAATTAGGATTTATCAAATTTCTAACCGTGGTGGAATATTTTCGTCAAGATAGACAAAAAGTGGTCGAAATAATGGTCAAAATAATATATACGGATAAAAATAGTGTACCTGTGGTATCTTTAAATGCAATTTTTCGGCTTAATACACAGTTTTTTCACTAACCCACATTTGTACAAGCAGTTAATGCACTACAATTGCACTGGTTCACTTTAACACAAATTAATACTTATTTAAATCGACGTTTTAAGCTCATTAAAGTCAGAAGTTTTAAAAGCACTTGTATTATGGTGGATAGGGGAATGCTTCCCATTTATGGGTGGTACCGGTCAAATGAAATAGCCGGCGCGAACCAAAATTGGCACTAAGGAGTAAACCTTGGAAAAAATCTCCCAACGCTAAGCTGTAGACCGTGGCGAGGGTGTGCGTGACTCCGGGAAAGAGGAGCCACAAACGGTCCCCCCGGCATCATGGCGAGGGTGTGCGGGATGTAGGCTATTTATAGCAAGGCCTTGCTGTGGTAAGGGAGCACTGCCATGGTTGACTTTTAGATCTGCCCTACTCGTGGGACCTAAATAATGTCACAAAAGAATCAAACTCAGCTGGTTGGGGTGTCCGGTACAGAAACTCTGACTAATACTGCAAAATCGTACCAAAACAATAGTGTAGGTGGAACACAAAAAAATTCACCAGCAAGCCAGGAGAAGGGGACAATGGTACCTCGGTTCCTACTTGTTAAGAGGAAAAGTGATAAAGGAGAGAACTTTGAAAAAGTTAGCCCTTTTCTCATTTCGAAAGCAATATATGGACTAATTGGTGAAACAAATTCGTTGAGAAAAATTAAAGATGGTCTGTTAATTCACACAAAAAGTAATAGCCAAGCTTCACGACTCCTACAAACAAAAACGTTAATTGATTTTGAAGTAGAAGTAATTCCACATGGAACTCTAAATATATCCAAAGGGATTGTTTTTTGTAAAGATTTACTAAATTGCACTACAGAAGAAATATTAGAGAACTTAAAAGATGAAGGCGTTATCGAATTTAGGAGAATGAAAAAGAAGGTTGAAGGTGTTTTGATAGATACCGCCAATCATATTCTAACTTTTAACAATCCTAAGCTGCCAAACGAAATTAAAATCGCATATTACAACCTAAAAATTCGCCCTTACATACCACCACCAACAAGGTGCTACAATTGCCAGAAATTTGGACATGTGTCTGCCAGGTGCATTAAAGAAAAATTATGTCCATGTGGCTCTCCCCCACACGAAGATACTGAATGTACACCACCTTTTACTTGTGTAAATTGCGAAGGCTCTCATTTAGCAAACGACAGAGAATGTCCTAAATATAAAACAGAATCTGCCATTATAAAAATTAAAATTATTGAAAAGATTCCCTATCTAGAAGCAAAAAGAAAGGTAATGTTAAGTACTCCAACAAAAAATTTACCACAAGTAACTATACAACAAGTCTTACCCGAATTAAAACAAATTATTGCTGAAACAATAGATAGTGAATTACAGAAACACACCCCTACTCTTCCTGTGAATCTAACAAATATGTCACCTCCTCGCTATCCCAAGAGGACCAAACGAATACGATCTGACAGCTCTGACATAGAATCAGTTACAAGTGAAACTACAAACTCACAAACTGAAAGGAAAAAAAAAAAAACCAGGTTGGCAGAGAGGCAAACCTCGCAAATTTGGTGCGATGAGTATGTAAATAATACTCATCAAATCCACTTCATAACATTTTAAATATACAAATTTATTCAAAACAATATTATATTTATTTACATTTTATATACATATATTTACATTTATATACATATATTTATTATTTAAATTTATATTTTTATATTTCCAATCTTATTTACACTTATATTTTTTATTTTAAAAATATACATATATTAATTATATATTAATATACATACAGCTTCATAAATCATATTTAATATATATTATTTAATATAAAAAAAAAAATAATATTAATGTCCAAATTAGAAAACCTAATACAATGGAATTGTAATGGTATTAAAAACCATTATCCGGAGCTGAAAGAAATTCTCCTTGATAAAAACCCATTTTGTATCTGCATTCAGGAAACTCATCTGAAACAAAATGAACGTTTTAATCTAAGAAATTACAATAGCATTAAATTATCAATTAATACAGGGCAACGAGCCCACGGAGGAGTTGCCATTTTCATTAAAGATAATATTAACACAGATATATTAGATTTAAATACAGACCTTCAAGCAGTTGCAATTAAAGTCAACTATCCTTACAAAATGACAATTTGCAATTTATACCTTCCTGATCGCCACTGGACATCACAAGAATTAAAAGACTTGTTTGAAGAACTTCCTACACCTCTTCTCTTACTCGTAGATTTAAACTCACATAATGTCCTGTGGGGATCAGAATCAACAGATCAAAAAGGTAGAGAAATTGAACAAATCTTAGATGAACTCAATTTGAACATACTTAATACTGGCGAAGGAACATACATTAATTCAAGATCGAATAATTTTTCTAAAATAGATCTCTCTATTTGTTCCCCAAACTTGGAGCCAAAATTAAAATGGAGGGTGATGAATGAACGTAACACAGACCATATTCCAATATTAATTGAGTTTGCTGACAGAGTGTTTCAGGAGAATTTACCAAGTAAATGGATAATAAATAAAGCAAACTGGAAAACTTATCAGAACTTCTTTGAATTATATTCTCCAAACTTTAGTAGAAATACAAATGAAATAGTGAAGCACTTCAGTGACGTCATATTAAACGCTGCAACAGCTGCGATACCATTAAGCAGCAGCACAAGAAAGATAAGGAAAGTTCCCTGGTGGAATGCCGAAATTGCTGCCGCTACAAAAATAAGAAAAATGCATTCAACATATTTAAGAGAACACAAACACAGGAATCGATGATAAAATTTAAACAATTTAGAGCTAAAGCACGATACCTTATTGTACATTCTAAAAGAAAATATTGGCAAGAATACATAAGTTCCATTGACTCAAATACAAATTCTAAAGAAATATGGCAAAAAATCCGTAATATAATTGGTAGAACTTTTTCTGTTCCATCTCCAACACTACTAGTAATAGAGAAATTATAAATCAATGGGAAATTGCAGATGAAATGGCAAAACACTTTCACCAAGTAAGCCAAAATGTGAATCTAAATCACCGGAATGATATTCTTCCCAATTTTAATTCTGATCAATTATGGGAATATAACTTACCGTTTAGAGTAAAAGAACTAGAACACGCTTTAAATAAATCCAAATCGTCAGCTCCAGGGAACGACCAAATCATTTACGAGTTTATCAAATACCTACCTGAAAAACAAAAAGAACAATTAGTTTATATTTATAATCATATATGGCTAACTCATACTTACCCATCCCAATGGAGAGAAGCTATCATTATTCCCATTCCAAAACAAAACAAAAATAGTGAAATTCCTTCTAACTATAGGCCAATTGCTCTCACTTGTTGCATAAGCAAACTTTTTGAGAAGATGGTTAGTAACAGACTAATGTGGGAACTAGAAAAAAGGAATCTATTGACAGAAACACAAATGGGTTTTAGAAAAAACCGATCCACCAACGACCAATTGGTACTTTTGGAAGATGCCATCCAAAACGCTTTTGCAAAAAGAAAGCATATAGTAGCTGTATTCTTTGACCTAGAAAAAGCTTTCGACCAAACTTGGCGTTTCGGAATTCTAAAAACCTTAGAAAATTGGAACTTGAGAGGTAATCTCCCGAAATTCATTGAAAATTTTCTCGAAGAAAGAACATTCAGGGTAAAAGTTCACCAAACTTTATCGGATATCTACCCACAGGAAAATGGTATTCCTCAAGGCTCTACACTAAGTGTAGTTCTGTTTGCCATTGCAGTAAATGGATTGACATCAGTACTTGAAGAAAATATAGGGAAAAGCATATACGTAGACGATCTAATAATATATTATGAATCAAAATGCATAGAAAACATTGAAGAAATACTGCAAAGAAACATTAATGCAATAAATTACTATGCCTTACATCATGGATTTAAGTTCTCTAAAACTAAAACGCAGTGTGTTCACTTCTGCAGACTTAGAACTCCCCATAGAGATCCTGAACTTAGACAAGAACAGCAAATAATTGAAGTCAAAGAGTCATCCGCAGTGCTTGGCATTACATTTGACAAAAAGTTAAATTGGAAGGAACATATCCAAAATATAACCACAAAATGTAAGAGGTATTTGAATATCATGAAGTCGCTATCTAGAATTCAATGGGGAAGTGATAGTAACTCTTTACTCTTGTTTTACAAGTCCTTCATTCTTCCCAGATTGGATTACGGGAGCATTGTGTACTCTTCTGCTCGCGAATCTACCCTAAAACCACTAGAGTCGATACAACGAACTGTACTTCTCTTAGCTCTGGGAGGCTACAGAACAAGTCCCTATCAATCTTTGTGTGCTGAAACATCAATCCCACCATTAAAATTCAGAAGGGACATATTACTTGGCAATTATTTCCTGAAGATGTCAACCCTACCTAATCATCCCGTTAATAAATTATTAAACTCCCATGAAGGAAACGAAGTATACGAAAGACGATCTACTATAACAAGGCCAGCTAAAATAAGATTTAAAGAACTTCTGGACAAGATAAATGAATCTGTTCCTTACTTCTATAATCTTCAAGAACATGAAATTCCACCGTGGGTAATCAAAGGACCACAGATTCATTTAGATTGCCTGAAATTCCAAAAAAAAAGAAGCTCCAGTTAACATCATTAAACAAGAGTTCTTAGCAATAGTTAATAACTACCAAAATGCAAAAATAATCTACACCGATGGATCTAAAAATTCCACAAGTTCTAGCAGTGCTCTCTTTTGCGAAGGATCATCATCATCTTGGTCATTACCAATAGCTGCCTCTGTCTTCACAGCTGAGCTTTACGCAATCTGGCAAGCTCTAAAGCTTATAGACTTAACCGGAAATTGCACAAATTTAATTTGCACAGACTCTCTTAGTTCCATGCTAGCATTAAAGAATAATTTCAGCTTAGATCCTCTAGTAAATCGGATTCTTACCTCTATTCAATATCTGAAATCAGATGAAAAAAAAGTCATCTTTATATGGATTCCAAGCCATATTGGAATATTGGGAAACGAAAACGCTGACAGGGCAGCAAAACTAGCCCTCAATAAACATCCTGAAGATATTCCAATACGCGCCGAAGACTTCAGAATTTTTTTTAAACAAAAAGT